TGGTTGGTGACTATTTCCTGGGGCAGTCCTATTAGGAGATAATGCATATCCATTGAAAGAATGGCTTATTCCGCCACGTCATCAAAACTCGAATGATGAAACCGAAAAACGGACAACCGCAAAGACAAATTTACGCGTCGATTAATAGAGTGTAGTTATGGAATTCTTAAAGAATGATTTCCATGTTTGAACCATTGTTTGTAGAGTTGAAACAGCTGAACAACACATCTTTCTTTTCTCGGATTTCATTTAATAATGCCAATCTATTTTGATTTTTTAGTTATTTTGTCATTTTAGCAAAACATAAAATTTAAAAATGAGTAGGTATAATAACGCTTGACGAGCAAGTTAAAAAATTAAAATCCGAGTATCGAATGATGATGAAAATATAATCAAAATATAAAATGCAACATAATGATAAAAAGCGATAACAGCTGTTAGATAATATGATAAGAAATTGAAAAGTGGTAACGTAATTTTCGAAACGTTACTACATTTGAAAAGTATACAATTCTCGTACCTATGTGGAATAAAAATACTGCATTTTGCAATGTTATGTGCTCATTAGCCTGAATTTCTACATTTCTTTAAATATACTAAGACTTATGTAGAACTCGGGTCAGTGGCGTATTTAGGAATTTTGCTAGGGGGGGGGATGAAATATATAATAATACATCCTAACACCCATAAATTCGTACATAATATACATTTTTAAAATCCCCTAACTTGTTACCTATTGAGGTTAGTGTGGATCAAGGCAAAATAAGAATTAATCTTTATAATTACCTCATCATTTTCCAAACAAATTTTTTTATTTGTACTAAAATAAGAAAATAAAGTTTTTTTTTTTTTGTTTTTGAGTATTACTCATATTGTCTTAAAACTTCACAGTTACAACTTACAAGACGCAAAAAATAAAGTCGAACAATAGTCAATTCGGCAGTAAGTCAGTACTCGGAATGGCGCGGCGTCGCTATCCGTTAACGTCCAACGACCGTACATATCTACTTTTAACGAATCACGATATCATACGATAAAATATATATATATATATAGCTATACATTAGCCATAAATCTACTAGTAACAAATTTTCTAAAAATAAACCCGCCCGGCCGCCCTATGGTTAATCCACGGTCTTCATGGTCATTTTGTTTTGTTTACCGATTGCTTATCGGGTTTATTATAAACACTCTTGCATGAAAAATAATTCGCAGAAACGTACAAAATACAGTACACCATGATATAGGTATAGTTTTTGTTGCCTGATAGTCGTACATGCCGCCAACGATAAACGATTAGTGGCGATTAGTATATCACACTATCAGAGCAGTACAATTACCACGACTAGAACATTTAGAAAACAGAAAACATACATGCTTGAAAGTAATATCATATTAAGAATATTAGAGAAAATGAGACAACTTATAGCTACCTAGGAAAAAAAAAAGGTCAAGGGGGGGGATCTATCCCCCATATCCCCCCCCGTAAATACGCCACTGACTCGGGTGTATTTGCTTTTAGGCGTCTTATAACATTGAGTCGATTGTCAATAGATCTGAGATCGTAATTCGTATTATTTAGGTTAATAATAATGAAAAAATAACTGGTTATCTTAAAAACAATGAAGCCGGATTGGATCCGAAATCCGAATAAACAGATTAGATCCGTGAATCCGGATAAAACGGATTGATCCGAAATTCGGATTAAATAATTGTAATCCGTAATCCGAATTGGTCAAAATAGTGCTCAACATTAGTTCAAACCACGACGAAAATACCACTGTCCGTTCGGTTGAATTTATTTCTCATAATTGTAAGTTATTAGTAGGTTTGTTATTACCACCCGTTCTTACAATTTCCTTAAAATTTCACAATATGTAATGGTAATCAGTTTACCTATAACATTACAATCTACAAAATCAGTGTTTTTTTTTTTTTTTTTTGGAGAACAAATTATCCTTTATTTGTCCCCTATTTTGAATTTTGAAATTTGACAACCCTAGTATTAGGGTATTAACGTATGATTTCATATTATTTAAATAATAGGCCCGGTGACGTCAACTCTCAGGGATGGCAAAACTAATTATAAAATTGATGTACCTAATGAAAAAAAAAATAAAACAATAAAAAAAAGAAAATGGTATGTTTTATTATGTTATAATTTGTTAATTAAAAAGAGTATTAAACGATTTTCATTTATAAGTTATATTTTAATATTAAAGAATCTCGATTATGAACGAAATAATAAGTGTTATATTATTATTATTTTTTTTTTTTTGGGGGGGGGAGGACAAAAATTATATGCCCAGGGGCGCCAAATTTTTAAATATAGGCCTGGGTAAATTATTATACACTCGTGTTTAAGACTAAGTTGTTTTTTTTTCCTTTATATAAGAATGTAATTTTAAGTAATACATTATTAATGGGTCAAACATTTTTGTGTTTTTATATATTATAAGATAATAGAAGAACCCCATCAATTGAAAAAATTTTAAAAACTGTCACAGGTTTGTATTACCACAGAATAGATTTAATCTATTCTGTGGTATTATTACCAATTAAAATCCAAAAATGGTTTTATCGAAAATAAATATGTTATAGAAAAATTAAAACCTATAAAAGTAGTGAAGTAGCAATTTATGAATAACATAGATTATTTGGATCAGATGAATAGTTATTATTTCTTCAACCACAAGGCTGCAAGATAGAATAAAAAGTTTTTATTTTTCTTAATAGTAACAATATGTATTAACCACTAGCGGCTCGTAGTAAATATTCTGGGAAGAACTTAAATTATAAAACAATATTAAACTTATTATCAATTCCATACAATGAACAAGAAAAACCCTTTTATTGGAAAATTAATTATACTTAATACTTAATTTAATGGTAAATTTTTTTATACTATTTATAGGTTTTATTTTTAATGGCCTCAAATTTATAATAATAAAAATAGAAAACGCTATAACACGAGTATTTTCAATAAAAATATTTCTACACATTTTTAAATAGTTATTATTTAAATTAAATTACATTAATAATTTATTGATAATGAAAGTAGCTGTTTTTTTTTTTTTTTTTAAGAGGAGACAGTCTGAGTCTCCTCTGAGGAACTGCCCCTGGTAATGACATAGGATACATTTTTAATGAATAAAAATAATTTTTTCCGTGAAAATTTTAGATTTTTCTTTTAGAATATAAAACAAATTCCACTAGACACAAAAAATTATAAATTATTTAATATAATAAACCTACAATTACAAAATTAAATTTATATTTTACAGGTCCAGTAGCTAATAATTTATTCTTATTAATGCTAACTGGAATCTCAAGCAATACATTATTTTTTTTAACACATCATTTGTATTATTCCGTTAAGTAATTCCTAATAAACATTTATGCGATTCACATTAAATGTTACAAACTGATTTACCTTTTTTCATATTATTATTATTAAAAATGCACCACAGTTGCAGCCAATTTCAATAAGGTATTTATAACAGCTTTTAAAATATAAATGCTAATGATTTTAGAATTGATAGTTTTTTTTTATAAGATACTATATACATTGATTAAACATACATTAATATACATATATGTTTAATCAATGCTATATATATAGATCTATGCAACTTATAATGAAGCTTTTAATGTGAATTTTTTAATGATTTTTTATTACAATTTTATTATAAAACTAGTAATAAACTTTGAAATATATATTTTTGGTTAAATCCTTAATATAGATCAAAGCTTTTAAAATTGAGTCATAGTAATGAAATAAAAAGGTTTTTTCTTAGCAATTACCTAATTATATTAATTTTGTTATGTTTAAAACCCATACAATAAATTGTTTAGTTATAATTTTTATTAAATATTTATTAGTAACAATTTAATTTTAAAAATAATTAACATTCGGACATGAGTATATTTTACATTAAATATACTTCATTCATTATAGATAAATTGGTATAACTTTTCACCAATTTATGTTATTATAGAAATTGCAAATTATTTACAGTATAATGACAATCAAGGATTCTTCTTTTATAAATTGAGTTCTATGACCATGCATCCATACATAATATCTAAACTATTTACCAAATTGAATAAATCTTGTCGTGTCATTTCAACAAAGAAAATTGATATTATCAAAATATTTAACTATTTGCCATATAGAATTCAATACAAATATTAATCTTGATAAATAGTACATGAGAAAAATACACAGAATGTCTTTAATTTAAGTTTTATATTTACAATAGTTTTCTTATATACATATGTATGGCTGCTTAATTATTTAAATTTATAGTTGGTCATAAACAAATACGAGACAACATTCTCCAGAAATAGAACCCTATAAAGCTATTTGAACTATTTATAGATTGGCAGTGCAAACTTGTGGCCATTACTTTATTCATAGTTTAGATGAATAAAGAATACCAACAGTTTAATAATATGGTATACCATTTCAAAGGAAGTTTAAAAATAACTTACCCAGATACCTAAGAATTTGTAATCATTAAATAAATGTATAAACAAAAATTAATATGTATGAATAAAATAATTAGGGATACATCTAAGCATTTTAATTATTTAAACGAAAAAAAAATTAGATAAGTTTTTAAAGTTTTGAAAACTTAAACCTTAAGCAATATTATTATTTGTTTAAAAATACAAAAGCCTATCATATAAGTTAAAAATTGTAAGACTAATGAAATATTACACATTACAATTTACTTAAGATACCTATTTATTCAAAGTATTTTAAGTATAGTCATAATACTAAATTAAATTGTTGATAACTTAAATTACAATCTGTATTCTAAATTGTGTAAATAATGATAGATAATTAAAAAGCTGCCAGCTATTAACGCTCAAAACTTTTTTTTAAATGAATACTCATTTATAATTAATTATATAAAAAATTAAGATGTACTACAAATTAATATTACACACATACACACATATTGATAGTAATTACTATTTCATTAAAAAAAAAATTGATGTATAAAGATAAATAACCCAGATAAATGTCAAATGAAAAAAAAAAAAAAAAATTACAATTGAGAGGAATGTAGAGGGACGAATTAAGCTCGTTCACCACGGATGCGTCTAGCTAACTGAATATCCTTAGGCATAATGGTGACACGTTTTGCATGGATAGCGCACAAGTTAGTATCTTCAAACAAACCAACCAAGTATGCTTCACTGGCCTCCTACAAATAAAATAATTTAGGTAACAACATATAATTAAAATTTATATAATTTCAACATTAATTTAATGAAAAATAATAAAATAAATAAAAGAAGTGTTAATAATAATTGAATAAAATATTTAGGCGATAATTATTCATAAAATAAAATTTAAACAGTGCTAAGTATATAGAATATTAAATACAAACTACAAACCTGCAAAGCTCCAATGGCAGCACTCTGGAAACGTAAATCTGTCTTGAAATCTTGTGCAATTTCTCTTACCAAACGTTGAAATGGTAATTTACGGATCAACAATTCAGTAGATTTTTGATAACGACGAATTTCACGAAGAGCCACAGTACCTGGACGATAACGATGGGGTTTCTTTACTCCTCCAGTTGATGGTGCACTTTTACGTGCGGCTTTAGTTGCCAATTGTTTACGGGGAGCCTTTCCTCCGGTGGATTTACGTGCAGTTTGCTTAGTACGAGCCATAATTAACCTGTAGATATAAACAAAAAACTTAATGAAATACCAACGAGAATAACAAACGGTTATGACAACCGAAAGAGCATACGATTTGTAAAAATACTACACAGGCACTTAGTCCGAAGACTTACAATAATTAGCTTGAATTATGAGCGTCTGTTAAAAACCCGCCAAATCGAAGGACAACTAAAACAACCAGTTGGTTGAGTTTCAATGTTAATAAATAGCAAAAAAAAAATTTAAGAACAACATGCCGTAGACGAATGCTGGTAAACACGGAATGAATAGGGAATCAGAACAAATATTTTGTTACTTAGTGAGAGTGAAACGAGTTAAGTCAATGGTGTACAAATAAAACTAACACCACCATCGGTTACCGGATGATTTTTACTTACTTTTATTATATATGATGAACGAATTGTTAGATATTTATTGAACGAAAACGTCAATTTTCTGGATAACGTCACTGGAGTCAGGACAGAATCAAAACAATGCACAGCCAACAGACTAACAGAATTACACAATGGCGACGGTTTGTTTGGTTGTGAGGTCGGACAGGACGACGTCATTGATCGACGACGGGTGAACATAACGAGGAATCCTATTGGTTTCACGCGGGTCTAACGAGTTACGCGGTTGGTGTAAATAACAGTTCTTGCGATTGGACGGTCTGCGCACATTATTGCCAACATTCGTCGTTACCGCGTTTTGTTGTTACGGTCATAATTTACGCGCCAAAACTGGAAAAATAGTTGATTTTTTGAAATTGTAACGGCTCACATACATGACCGCAACCATCAAAACATATGATTATCGGTTTATTATTCTAATAAAAATCTAAATATTTAATAAGTATCACGAGAACACGAAAAACATTTATCATATAATCTATAACTTATCGATTGTTTATTCGTTATGTTACGTCATTACGTCCGTATCAATTATCTATCTGAAGAGTATGGATTCTGAGCATTTCAACACGCTTTATCGAAACTTTAGGCAGTTACGTCATTATTTTAAATAATACTATTTTTTCGAGAATTATACTTAAAATTATTGGAATGTCAGGGATGTACGTTTTGATTACGTTCATATTGATATAATATCAGTAATATTTGTTAGTTCCAATATTTTATCATTTTATTTTGTTGTGTTAACAACTAGTAATATCACTAAACAATATTTACATTGAAAATTACATATTCAAATAGTAATCATTTATTAAATAAAACAAGTTTCCCTATGGATTGACTAATTGGTTACTTAATTAACAGTGATTGAATTTTTACGATTTTTCTTAATTTTATAATTTTAGTGTAGGATGTTAGGTAAGCAGAAAATGTGAATATTAACCATAAACAAGTGTTTAGAGTATATTTTTCAATTATTTTGAGACATTTTAAGGCTATTAATACAATATTTATTATATTATGATTTTATTTCATATGGAATGCATATTTCAGTATCATGTATTGTAATTTTTTTTGTATTAGATAAATTAAAATAATGTATATTTACTTTGTTAAATCCTTTTTATATAACATTTTTTATATTGATATGATTAATTCTCAAAAATTATAGAAAATAATAATTAAGGTAATTCAATTTTTTATATATGAATTAATGACAGTACAATTGTTCATATATTGTATGTTCGACTATTTAAAATAGTATAATAACATTTTTTTTGGAGCATAACATGATTTTTTAATGTATACATAAATCTAAGTATTTATAGTATAAAAAGACCATTTTAACCCATCATTTATTTTAATTTATAAAAATAGCAACATATGATTTAAGTTATAAGTTGCTCAGTAATAATCAACAGTTCCTTTAAAGTACCTTTATAGCCTTCTTACCATGTATTATATAGACACAGCGAAATTATATAGAGGGAGAGGCCATATGAGGCATTTATCTAGAGTTAGCTATTTCAAAGTTGACTCATCATCAAAAAATAAATGTTTTTTATAATGCTATTGACATGTTGTATGTTAGAATAATGAGACATTAACTATACACAAAACATAAATTATATTTTAAAATTTGTTTGATGGCCCCTTTATTCCATGAATTAATCGACACTTTGGTAAAATGAGCTTATGAGTCGGCAATTTAATAAATGCATGCCAACTATCCTACTCTAGAAAAAACTGAAATGATGCCACTGCATGAGCTTCAGAAGTTGTTCATTATATATTATGTTACACTTAAAGATTTTCAAATATATTATAATGATATCAGTTTTTAAAAGTGATTTGTTAAATATATATTGACTATAAAGTAAGGTTGCCAATAATGGTGTCATCACCATCTATACTATACCAGATAAAATAATTATTTCTTATTTCGTAACAAGTTAAAATACAACATTTTTAATATGGAATAACATTAAATACTTATAATAAGTATAAAAAGTTTTATCAAATAGGATTTAAGATGCCATATTAATTTAATTAGTTAAATTTTAATTATATATATTGTATAAATTTTAATTTAATATCTTCATTAACATTTTTTTTATGAGGCTAAATCTCAAAACATGATAAATAAACAATAAGCATAGGCTATTTATACATTTCATACAGTTTATTTGTTATCTATAATATAATACAATTCTGAGAGTAATAAACATAACATAGATTAATATTATTGTTTTACTATAATTTACAGTATATAATCTATATACACTTAATCTAAGAAGTTCAAAAGTAACATTTCAAATTTAAAATTCAAATTAAATAAAAAGTGTATATGAAAAAAAATATTTGCAATAGAAACATTATAATTATGAGTTAGTACAAAAATACATATTACTCACAGTTAGTACAATAGTATATTTCAATAAAGCTCATATTATAACAGTATTAGTGTAACAGAAGTTGAATTGAATGCTAATAATTGTAGTTTAATTGAATCATCATACAGAATTCCCCATCGCCTATTACATTTAATTAAATATGAATAGTGATAGTAAATATATTTGGTTTTCATATAATTTATCAAACTATTATACTAGGGATGTCATAAATTTATAAGGTGAAACCGGGACAACACAAACACAGTATTGTGATTGAGTAATATATTTTTTATAAAACTTTAATATATTGAGAGGACCAGTGGCGTATACAAAGGGAGATGTAGAGGTCAGATTCCCCCTAGGCATTTTTTAAAATGTTACAAAATAATGTTCTTAGAGTGAGAGCTTTACAAACGTATAACAAAAAAAAAAATAATGATTTGTTTGCAAATGATCCCCTGATCCGCCTCAAACATAAGTTATGTATACGCCACTGAAGAGAACCATTAATGGCCGACAATAAATATTTAAAAACATTTTGTAAAATAAAATATATTAAGTATATATTATATGTGTAAATTATAAATTATGTTTTTATTATATATTGTTGATCGATTACGATTAAAAATGTACTTTGAGGTAAAATGATTGAAATTAAAAATTAAACAATGTTACATTTCCTCTTAACGTCTAAGCCGGACATATGGACACCCCGAAAAATGTTTTCTGGACACCGGGACGCGAAGTTCAAAACCGGTGATAACCCCGGTTTTCCGGGACGTATGGCAACCCTATATTATTCTATAGTAGTTAATGGTTAAATTATTTAAATTATGATACTTTAACCAATTTAATATAATTGATATGCTATTTTAAATAAAGGTTAGGTCAGGTGCTTCCACCCACGTCCCTTAAATCCTTTTTATGGACTCCTTCCATAGAAGGCTTATATAAAAAAAAGTTACAATAATATTATTACAATATTGTATACAATTGTATATTTTTATGTTTTATACTATAAAATTTAGTTATACATATAATAAGTAACATCCAAAAATATGATTGAATTCAGTTCACTATGTACTTATGTAGGTATTGTGGTAAAATTTTTTATTTTTGGAGGCCTCCAATGTTTTTATGAAAGTGTAAATTGCCCCACCAACTACAAATGGTTGGACTGCTTTGGGTTAATTTATGGTCACTTGTAAGATTCATCAAGTATCAAATATTAATGGTAATATACATATTTTTTTTACTTATGATTCTTGCACACTTCATAAATCGATATTATCAGTTTAAGTATTGGAATTTATTAAGCTTTTGAACTTGTTTCTTAAGGTTAAATTAAATTGTAAATTTATAAATCATATTTTCTGAGTGTAATTCAAGTGTAATAGAACATATACATATTAAATGTTTACAATTAAAATCTGTAACATAATTACTACTTTCAAAGTATATTATCAAAATACTAATATTATTTAAAATTATTTTTAAGAAGTTATAAGTAAAAACAATAATAATATATATAAATATTTTTGAAAGAAATAAAAATTATTGAAATTAAAATTAAAGATGTTTTTATTTAATTCATTATATTTATATTACTCTTAATATAATAAGATTGTGATTGAAATTATATTAAAAAAAAAAAACGAATTTAACTATTATTTTAATTTCAAATGTTTAAATATATATATATTTTTAACTATTACTGAATTTAAAAAATAATTTTGCGAACTAAATATAATAGTATAGGTTAAAATTAATATTTCACTATCATTTTTTATTTGAAAACTTAATAGTAAACAAACTTAAAAAAAAGTCATATAAATGTGCATGCATAATACTAAATTATAAATGTATTAACTATATCACTAATTATAATTTTTTGATAGTAAAATAATTTCTTAGAACCCTTCATGTAACAGATTTCCAAAAGAATGCAGTGCATTTAATAAAGACTCTTTAGAACTTAAGCTGTTCTTCATTGCACAAGTATAAGCTTTGATTGCCGACACAAAATATTTAGGATTTGATTCAAATTGTTGCAACATTCTTTGATTAGCTTGATCAAAATCAGATAATAGCTGATTTAATTCATTTTCATTATCACCATTATGTAATAAGTTTTCAGTATTCAAATTTTCAACAAAAATATAATTATCAAATTCTTTAGATAGTTCAACATTTTCATTTTCATATAATACAATAGTTTCTTCAATCATTTCTGTCATATTTTCATTGTATTTAATGTTCTTCATTGATTCTTCTAAACTATTCGATGTATTAAGACTTAAGAAATCATTAGAGTGTACTATATTTACATTATTTTTTGTTTCTTCTTCATTTATTAAAGTCTTAATTAATTTTATTCTATTTTTATTTATTTGCTTTTCTTTTCGAGTAAAACTTAATTTTACAGATTCTGATAAAATATGATTATGACAATGATAAAGTGTCGCAATTACCTTAAGAGAAAATATCATTACATTGTTGTCAGCTATTGTACTTTTTAAAGATCTAAAAATAATAAGAAATAATGTATTAATTAATTTAAACTCAAAAATGTACTTCTTATACTTACAAAGCTTCACTACATTTTGTTATTCGTACAGTTAAAGTGGAGGGGCATCCTGTATGCTTTGGGTGAGGATCACAGTATTTATTAGGAAATGTATTATGTTCACATCTGTAAACTTTCTGAAAAATATCAATAATCTTAAAAATAAAAATAAAATTAATATTTCTATATATACTTACATTAAATATTATTTTAGGACTAGGTGACTTGGTATATGATTTAACTCTGTAAGTGACATGAGACTTTTGAGACAATTCTGAAAGCCAATTCATAAACATTTTTTCTGAACAATCAGGGATTTCAAATTTTGTTTTTAATTTATCGTTTCCTAGACTTTCTACATAATTAATTTTGTAAATAAAACCACTAGGCAATAATTTCTGAAAAATAAATGTGATCATTAATATTAAAAATAAATAACACAAATATATTAAGAAATTAATAAAATTGTTAGTTTAGTAAAGTACACCTTCAATTGGAATTTTGAATAAGGAGATAAAAAATCTGCATTAAAGTCATTGTAGAAAATTCATTTGAAACATACAATACCTGTAATTGTGGATAATCTTCTAAATTGCTTGGTTCAAATATTACACACTTATTTGTTCTGGAATTTTTTTAAAAAAACTGCAGTGAATAAATTGTTTATATATATATATATATATATAAGTACAATAGTTTTGACTATTAATTATGATTGTTTTGAAAATCAATACACAAATGCATTTTTTTTTAGCATTTGATTTTAACATCACAAGATGTTTGTATTAAAACAAAAATAATAGTATAATCAATAAACTATAATATATATCTTCAATATACTTACATTTTTTTTTTCTGTAATGATGGTGTTAGATTCATTTTATGTTTATCCCGTTCATGTCGCCTTAGTGAACTTCTTTTAACAAAAAAAAGTTCACATAGTAAACATTTAAGTGTACCTTTAGATTTATTAATTGGCAATACTTTTAAATTGTGTATTTTCAGTAAGTGCCTGTTTAAATTTTTTTTGAGAGTAAATTCCTTGTTACATTTCTCACAAGTATGCATGTTTACTGATCAGCAACCTAGATAGTTAAAATAGTATGAACAATAGATTGATATATAGAGCATTAATGACTCAGTACTTTAAGATTAGTAAAATAACTAAATATTTTCAATTTTTTATTAATTATAGTATTTAATTTTAGTTTATGAGACAACATTATACTTCTTCACTTAAAATTACTTGATGCATGTCATTTTTTCTGATTAGTTTTTATTATATTCAAACATGAAGAGGGTCTCTTTAAATATGATTATTTATATAATCATAAAAATACACAAAAGCCACAATAACTAATATTTAAACTATTAATAATAGTTCTTATTTTTAAAATTATAATTTGCATTTTATTATCCAAATTCTATTAAACCAATAAAAAAAAAACTATCAAAAAGGTCTTTAGTACCAAATTCAATAACTTGTCTATAGATTGAATGTTGCAGATAATTTAATGTAAATTCAGGACTTTCTATATTCTATAATTGTAAAGAAGTATTACATAATGCAGTTTTGGAAAGGAATTTGTATTTAAACCCATTAGAAATACTATAGATTTTTTACAGAATAAGCCAGAGATGTATCTAAAATTGAATATGTTACTGATCATACGTAGTTCAGGGTTCTACAAAATAATCTTAATTATTGATTAATTACTTACACTTACAACGTTATAAGTTTTTGCTTCATAAAAATTAAAATTTAAGTTAAACAGTTATCAAACCTCTTAACTTAAAAGTAACCGTTAGCCTTACTATCATGTAACAGTTAAATAACTGATATATACTTATTAAAACAATAATTAAATTTAATAAGTTATAATGAACTAATTAAATTATATTAACTTGCATAAAAATATGTTTAGACATGAACAAAAGAAAATTCGATAGTTATACGTTGCAAAGCAACTCGATTCAAATATTGCCTACCAATGTCTAATAGTCGTAATTTAAAAGACGAATAATCGCAGATATCTTACAAGATCTGTACCTACTAAGTATAGTTATATAAAACCATGTAAATTTATTATACGTTATTTATATTTTATCTATTCTATAATAGTTACTTCGAATATTTGATAACATATTATCACTAAATCCATCAGTCACAACCACGGTTAAAGATAATAGCGTGGTTACAACCACAATTAAAGATTTCCCTCGCATTTCTTCCAACTATTTTTAGTCGGCCACCCTTGTCTTAAACCTCCACTTGTCTCGATTTTCTACACCCCCAAAAGCCCTCATATCATTCTCAATTATAACCAACTATCTACTTTTTGGTCTTTCTTTTCTTCTTTTCCCTTTGACATTAATTTTCATAACCACTCTTACTGCTATTGTTTCTTTTCGTCTCATCGCAAACCCTAACCTTCTCCGCCTGTTTTGTTTCACCTTGTCCATTATTGACGCTAAACCAATACTACCTATCACAATATTATTATTTTAATGTACTTTTCAAAGGTGGACATCAGGGGTGAGCTTGAGGAGGCTTATCCTCCCAAAATCGAAACTGTTAGAAATGTTATTCTTTGTTTTTATAAAATTGTTCGGTTTTTTGAAAATCCTAAAATAAGAAACTATAAAAAACTATTTACAATAGCATTAACAATACCAATTAGTTGGGCTACTTGTGAAAGAAGTTTCAGTGAAATGAAAAAAAATAAAAATTTGGCCAAAGACATTATTGGTTCAAGATAGGTTCAGCGATCTTTCAATACTATGTATTGAAAAATATAAAAAGTTAAGATATTTTGAATATCTTTGCAGATACAAATAGATATTTGTCATTAAAATAAAATATAAATTATTTTAAATATACGTTATTTAGTGTTTTTTTTTTAATACAATTTAAACATATCTATATTTTTAACAGTAATAAGTTTTACTTGTGCATGTGAAAGAGGGTGAAGCCCCTGCTAGTTATTTTACATTGCATTATTATAGCCCCCTCAAAAATTCAACCAAATATCCACCTATGGTACTTACATATTTTGAAAATTATCTATTAGTAGTTGCAATTAAAATTATTGTACTTCAAATATAAGCAGATATAAATATTTTTATAAATAATTATTATGAATATATTATGTTCCAAAGACTTTATAATGAAGAAAATACAGTTAGATTACAATATGAAATTAATGAGTAAAACATTATTATGAGTAATAGTTTAATACATCACAGCAAAATCCTTGTTATTTTGCATTTCAATTTAAACAAAAAACATATTATAAAACATTGATAAATGAAGATGCTTACATTTGGCATAACAATAATTAACTGCATTTCAAAATCTTAATATAACATAAGGTTTTATCATATAATTTATAAACAATAACTAATTTGAATCATATTATTTTACCCAGTATTTTTTTGAAAAAAAAAAATTATTTTAAATTAAAATTACTCTTTGAATTTATTTGAAATACAATTAATTAAATATAAATCTAAGATTTCTAAATACTTAACAATTTTTGAACATAATTATTCTTCATTCAAATAATTACTGAAAATACATAATAATATTGAATAAATAAAATAATGATTTAATTGATTATAGAACTAACAAATAAAATATTCTTTTAAATTAATTATCGTTATAAAGAAAAAAACCTAAAAAATATATTTACAAAATTCTTATAACAGTCAAAAATTAATCATTTTTTTTTTTTATAGGCGAGCTATTTAATACCGCAGAAGGACAGATGGATTTGTTTAAACATGAAACACAATGTGGACCAATGGGTCGGCATATAGTTTGTCCAAATCCAACTAACATATGATTAACTTCACGCCACAGTTCTTTAGGCAACCAAGACTCTAATGCTACTCGAGTATTTTCTGGTGTCTTGGTATTTTTTTTTACCCAACCCAAACGATTACTTATTCTATGTACATGAGTGTCCACTCCTGTAAATTTAAATGCAATTATTTATTTCATTGTTAATTTAAAATACAAATATTTGTACAATACCAATTCCTGTTACTTCATTCCAAGCACAACTCATACAAAGATGAGCCATCTTGGGCCCTATACCAGGCAAATCGCACAGATCTTTTATTGTTTTCGGTATATCACCATTATAATTATCCTTAAGTATACGAGTCGTTCGTTTAATATATTCAACTTTTCTCTAGAAGTAAAAAAAAAAAAATTAATATTTTTGCTATTTAATTTTGAAATAAACAGAGGAAATATTTAATTTCTGATTGTTAATTTATGTCAACTATAGAAATATTAGGAAATTTACCTTCCAAAACCCAACAGGATAAATCAATTTTCCCAGTTGTTCATCTGTGGTTTCTAAAATGTTATCTACAGTTAAGCCATGCTCTTTCAAACGTTGCATAGCTGCATAATTAACTTCATCTTTAGTTTGACTTGATAGCATTAATGATACAAGTACATGATATCGAATTATCTATAAAAATTACTGTTATTATAATTACATAAAAAAAATAAATCTTAGGTATAATTGATTTTTTGTTTAAAATATAAAAATAATTTATGATATTTCATAAATTTAAACATTATAACACTAATTTATTTGTGTGTTATTTCATTATCATATTATTGGGAAAATATTTGGTATAGTTATTATTTTATAATTGTATACTTCTGGCCGTTCGTTTAAATCAGCAACTTGATCGCACCCCATATCGTCCACAGGTGCAACAACATCTTTACGCATTTTTCTTATATTCTCTAACGTCTTTTGCCAATTGGCTGGGTACCAATCAACGTTTGAAGTTTCTTCGTTTGTATCAGATTTGATAGTCAAATGTTTTCTTTTTTTTATGACTTGTGCATTACTTTTTCCTCCGTTGGAATCAATTTTATCAGTCAAAGATCGTTTGTTTCTTGAAGACATGATTAATGAAACGTACAATTGGTATTTCCTGAAGAGAGCATAAATATTATACAGATTACATTTCTACTGACAATAATATCCTAATTGTCTAAAAGCAATTAAACGACTTCGAAAAAAAATTGTAATAACAAAATGCAGCAATATTATTGTGCATAGTTTTCGTCTTAGGGGTTTTACCTGGACATAAATCAATCAACTACCGAGTATTTACGCAGTTTTCCACTATTCCTCAGTAGTCGACTTGCCGTTATAAGTTTAAAAACTACCCAAAAATTAGTTTTACCCGCTATCATTTGTTATCATCATCAGATTATCGTTATCATTGATAAGATATTTTCACTTCTAAATTTTTAAATTTCACCCGCGATTTTTAAAGAATTATTATTAATGGTGTTTCTTGATCAATTCATTAATTTTGTGTTTGACGTTTTGAATCCCAAGTCAATAACGATAAATAGATCTACATTTAACGAGAGATTTATGAAACAATATTATGTCTATATATCTGAGGTACATTGTGTACCGTACACAGGTAATTTGCTTCTACGCAGTGTACCATGAGCAACGTCAAAGACGGCTGAGCATTATTTTTGTAAAGCGATCCATGTGTTGCAACTAAACCAATTAATCTTTAATAATATAACTTTGGAAATGTAAACAATACAAACCTATTTGTGCGATTAGGTTGTTTCACATATTAAATGTGCAAGTATTATATGTTTTTTTTTTTTTTTTATAAAAATGCAGGTTATTAATTCTATTTTTATAAATAATAATGGATTCAACGTTGGATGCTTTTGACTGGTCGAAGAATTTTGACATTAAATTATGACATATGTGAAAACATAAATATTATATTTAATTTTAAATATTTATAAATTAAATATAAAAATATATATAAATTAAATATTATATTTTTTAATTTTCTTTTTACATTTCTTTAATCGATTGTAATAAACCGTGATTCGTAAGCCAATGCGATAATAATAATGATCGACAAGTATTAGGTAATTATTTGCTATTATTAATTTATTAATTTATAGCCTCTTTCCGGATTTATTTCTTTGTCTATTATCATATAACTAATCATAATATTAAACACATTAATACAATAATCTAACGCCGTCGTACGAAAATAATGTGTTAAAAAAAAAAATTAAAATGCCACTGTATAATAAATGCTGATATAAAAAAATAACAAGTAAATTTCTGTGTAATATGCTTGATGTATCAATATATAGATGTATGTATTTATCTTAATTTATCAACAAAATTAACATTTATTATATTTTTTATAGATTATAGATAACAATATTTCGTTTAAATTAATTTAATCTTTTATTTATTATTAATTTTACTTTATTAGGAATAGTAGAATATTATTAATTGGGGCTGCGCTGAAAACTAAATTCAATCGAACCATTAATACGTATGATTAAAAACAAATATTACATGTGCACATAATTTAGATAAAATAATAATTTTATAGTTATTTTTTTTTTGATGTTATAATTTATTTTTAAATTTAAAACAATATCCAGAAATTGAACAAAAATAAAATATTTACGTATTAAATACAAGAAAAATAACAACGGTAGACTAAATTGTATCAACTAAAAAAAAATGAGGTATAAATTGAATGACAATATTTATGTATCATAACAATACTTGTTAAGCAGTTAACTATTTTACATGGTAAAAAAAGAAATTATAGTTCACGCTTTATGACTTATAAAGTTGTATTACTACATTACTTTGGTCTTGATTATTTATATTTATTAAAAAACTCTTATAGTATTATAGTCTTCTCAATAATGGCTGCTGTAATGGTCGTCGTGATGGTCATAATGGCCATAATGGTCATCGTGGTGATAGGAATCATGGTGTTCCACTGTCTTGTAAATGTACACAGGTTTCTGAATGTATACTGGTTCTTTTATGTAAACTGGTACCTTGTGAACGTAGTACGGAACGTGGATAATATGGTGCTCGCTATAGATCATACATTTAATGTGTTAATTAGTTGAATATTCTTGCCAAACTTAACATAAAAATTAAACTATTAAATAATGATTAGCTTATGCTGATAATATTAAAATTCTCGATAAAAAATACCAAATATTATAAATACTAGAAATTTAACATAATTATGAATAATTTTTTGTGTAATTAATATTTAACAGTCTATTTTTCAAATAAATGTGGTATTATACAAAAAAAAATAAAAAACCATATAGATGATTTGAAAAAAGAATTTAATTTATAAGATTGTATAATGCATAATAGGTTTTATATATTTTTACCTACTTACTTGTATTCAAACTTGCTGATAGAAAAACTGAATCACAAGTTTTATGTAATACCTCTATACTCACCAAACGATATTGTATATTAAATAAGGTATATTTTAGACGTGTTATTTTTTTTGGAAATTTTTCAATAAACTCCGTGAAGTTTTATCAAGTAATTGTTGTTTAATATATATTTTATTATAATTAATTATTTGTTTTATAGGTTTATACATAACGAACATTTATTAGTAGTTTAAAGAAGTTAAATAGATTTTTACTTCAAATACTTTCAATTATAGAAGGATACTCCATAAAACACTTTAAATTGAAAATAATTATGCTTATAAATAAAAAACTACTCATTCAATAACATTTTTATTTATTTATTTATTTATTTATTTATTTATTTTACATCAATTGTAATTAAGATAAACAATTTTGATGCAAAATTTTAAATTAAAATTAGTATTTAATTTGTATTATTGATTTATTTGTATAGAAACTTATAATAAAATGAAAAAAAAGTAGATTTACGAAGTATATTTTATTTAATTTATATTTTTTATGAGTTTAATGTTGCTTATTGTATATTTTCTATTTTTAATATTGTTTGCAAAAAACTTAAAAATGTTCAATAACTTGAAAGTAAAGTTCAATCATATATGAAGTACAACTTATAGAAACTTTTCGTACAAATATTGTAAAATATTTATTTTTACTTACTGTTTAGGAGAAAAGAAAGTAGGTGAAGCAGCTGCCATGGAGATGATAGCCAAGATAATAGCAACCTTAAAAATATTAATAAATAATTTAATTATAAACTAAATATTTTTATTGAGCTTAAGTCGTTTAAGATGAATTCAACTTAAATTATAAGTGGTTAAACTAATAATTGGTTCATTTAAATTTAAATTTACGAACTAAAATTTAGCATAAATTATGTGTTATAATTAATACATGGCTGTATATTATTAACTTAAAGAACACAGCGCAGTAGCCATATTGAAATAGTAATATAATACAAATAGAACCGTAGATGGGTAAAAGAATCATAAAACAATTGAATTATTAATTATTATATAATCAATTATTCTATTGAAATGTATGTATATTTTGTTTGCAATTACACACATATTATCATCATAAATTAATTAAAAAAATTTTAATTTTCAAACTAAAAAGGCAAAATTTGATAGTAAAATTTGTAATTATTATACTAGTAATATGTTGATTATTTCTATAAATTCCTGTCTCAAATATTTTAGTTTAAATAATTTGATCAGTTATTGATTCTCAATACTATTGAAAACCAACCGTGGTATAAATGAGTCAATTTCCATAAAAATAAAAAAAAAACTTGTTTGTTTATTTAAAAAAATATGTTTATCCGATAAAAAGTAAAATAATATTTAATTGTAGTAACATAATGATATTTTGATTTTATATTTTATGAACTAAATGATTTATTTCCTATAATATGTACAATTAATAAATATTTTTATAATAAAATGTGCAGTGACAAAAGAAATTTTCTAGAAACACACACTCGAAAAGAAAAATTAAATATTTGTTTATACTTACTGAGGTTTTCATGTTTGCAATTGGTTGTTGGTTATTTATGGTAGAATATATGTGGGCTGTTGCAGATCGAACGTTGTCGCTAACGATGTATGGCGTACTCGCTGGAAACGCACACGGTTATATATAGGTGAGTGTGGTTTAGATATTTTACTTTAAATATCGGTTGGATACACGTAGCTTGTTATCATTATTATTGCTTTGTTTTTATTAGGAGGAGTAGTTGCCTGGAAGGGTTGACCCGTGTAGATGTTGTCCGGTATATTTTTAAAAGTGTGTGTGTATATTATGTATGTATATGTGCGTGTGTGTACTATCAGTCTAAGTTATGCAACGACCCTACTTGGCATTTCGCTTTTTTTTCTTCTGGAACGTGGATAGGCTAGCGAGATCACGCACAGGTATCGTAATAACGCGTTTACTTGGGTTAGGTTACAGTCCGATACAGTTGTATAAGATTCATCGCAATCGTCCTGACAAAACAAGTTTTTAAACGGTACGCGAGCATAGCGCGCTTTTGAAAAGCTCGCGAGCTATTGTTTTACTTTTTTTTTTTTTAATGATTATTATTATGACACATAATATGATAATAATAATGTAATTCTTGTATATACATAATATATATATCATATTTCATTCACACTTGTCATCGCGATCACAATAGCATCATGTCCTTTTGCTTATTTCGATTTAAATTTTACTCAAGGTGATGTATAAAATAACGATGCAAATAATAAATAATATGGACATAATTTACATAATTTGTATCTAATATTACTATATTAAATCCATTTTATTATATAAAAATTATATATTTTAATACAGATATTATTAAATTCTTTCTTGCATCGATCACACACACTTGACAAACTTTCCACTCATACACTGTAAATTAATAATGACGTAGTAAAATAACAACATCAAACTTAAAAATAAGAATTTGTCTTCAATGCTGTGAAATGAGGAAACAATATTTTCGTCGTAAGTAAATACTTATAAACTTTTGAACAATTCCTGTGTTATAAATGGTATAGAATAAATCATTTTTTTTAAATGTTTAAGCTTAATCTTATTTCTTTACGTGAAAAATTATTACACTTTTGTTACAAAATGGATAAACTGATAAATCACTTACATATAATATAATAGATTTACATAATAAAATTATTATATTCTGTTTCTCTTTGTAGTTATACATATTAATTAATATTTTCATGTGAAATTTATTTAATTATATAAATTTCACGTGTACCTACAACCTGTATAAGAAAATTAAAAGCTTTAATTGTCTTAACTATGTAGTTAGTATAAACAATTATTTTATAATTTATATACAAAATAAATAATTATAATTTTTTTTGAAATTATATATTAAGTATAGAAATATGTTCATTGTGTTATTTTGTTGAATTGTTCTAAGAATAAAAGAAAACAAATACCTCAAATAAAATTGAATTAACATTTTTTAATTATTATAATATTCTATGTGTTCATATTAATATAAAAGTATTTAATTAATATTTAAAGGTCTAAGATTAATTTTTTATTTATGTGTTCAGAGTTTCTAAAAATAATATTTATTCTCTCTTGAATCTATTTAAAAATCGAGTTAGATTAATAACAATTTCATATTTATTAAGAATTTTTACGAATAATTTTGCTGTCTATATTAAGATGATATAAATAAATGCACTTGATGACGAGAATTTTTTTTTATGATAGCTATAGCCAAATATTAGAAATTAGTTACAGTATTTATGTAGTATAACATTTCAACAGATTTCCTGTTTAATAATAAATTGATAACGAAGAGAAGCTATTTAGTCTTAAATAATTATTCTGATCTTACAATTACAAGTTGTATCTATAAATATAATCTGATATCTAATTATCAACTGATTTAATATGTATAATTTGTGTATTTGTCAATTGTAGTTTTAATAAATCGAATTTTCGATAATCAAAATTTGTAGGATTATCAAGATTATAAAAAACTGTGTACCTTCATAATGGGAAAAAAGCCTAATTTCTCATTATGTAGAAAATTGTTTAAGGTAATATCTAAATATGACGATTAATAAGTATGCCAAGGAAATATAATTTATTTACAAACAAATTACTTGTTTTAATTATATTAATTGTAATAATAAAAATTATATAGTATTATATATATATATTATATATTAAAAAACATTAACATTTATTTTATTTTATGAAGGATTCCGTCTTACATGGGGTCCTTTATAGAAATATTTTACTGTTAATTAAAGCAATGACATTATATAGAGGGTAGCAACTGGACAATTTGGTCCAATTTAATATTAATTTCAACTTATAGCTGATACATTTAAAAAATATAAAAAGTCTTTAATAAGTCAATTTTGTTTAAAAAATATTAACTGTTGGACAGTTGATTTCCTGACCTTCCCCCTAAACCCGTCCGCCACTGATACATGTGATATCATAAGATAAATTATATGTACATATATAAAATAAAGTAAATTTTATTTTATTTTAAACCTTTAACTCTTTCATGCACGATGGTTTAAAAATATTCTACAGCCTTATTGTACAACCATTTAAATTTTGAAAAAAAAAAAATATTTTTCTCAACTATTTTATATTTACAAATGGATCCAAAAATCGATTTTAGTAATAAAAAATTAAATAATTAAGAACTTCAGAAATTATTCTAGGTGGGTCAACGTGAATCCAACCGTGTAACTCAAGAGTCTTATATTTTAGCTACCTATTATCTCAAAGGAGTATTGGGGGGGGGGGGTTAAGGGGGGGATCGCCCCCCCTGAATCCGTATTTAAGGAATCGATTATACGAGTATGTGAGATATACAATTAAAATTTTTTTAATGTGGATCATTTTACAACGAAATCAAATTACACGTGGCTGTGAATACTGAATTGGGCTTTTTGTCGAGTCCATACTTGGAAAATCAAATAAAACACAAGCATAACTTTCAAAACACAGACAGGTGTTAAAATATAACTACACAAAAGTTGATTATAAATGGATTCGACATTAGATTAAAAAAAAAAAAAAAACCACAAATATTAAGGATTCACCCGATTTAAATATTACTAAAATTTGAAATTTTGAGCCTGAATTAAAGAAAAAATTTGAGCCCCCCCCCTAGAAGTAAGTCTAAATACGCCCCTGTATTATCTATGGTTATTCCATTAGATAATTTCAGGCAATTGCTTATTATAGTTTAATATTAATAATAAAATAAATCAATTTATTTTCATTATCTGTATGTATTTAAATAAAAACAAATAAATTCGTGTTAATATAAAATAAACTGGATTACTGGATACCGAATAAAACATAATATTATAAACCCCCAATAAACATTGCAAAAACCAAATATTTTTATATTATAATAAGATAATAAAATACCAAAAAGGTAATAAAAAGGTAAAAGATGTTCACGCTGTCACTGATGTAGTCTTAAACTGAAAAAATGATATAAATAATAAGTTTTCTTTATTTTAATTATTTTTATACTATATTTTCTACGACTTGAATAAGTTTTATAAGGATTTGGGAGAATAATTATGCAATATATAAATATATGCAACATTTTCTTTATTATTTGAAATGTCTACATTTTCATCACTCTCTGATTCGGATTTCATAACTAATATTTTAGCATTATCAGGCCCGGGTAAATAAGTTTCACTGTCATCGGTATTGTCGATTTACGATACATTTTTGTCATCTGGAGATGAATCTTTGAAAATGATTTAATTTAATTCATCGTCAGTATAATTTTTGGAAATTTTAAAATAAAAATAACAAATAGAATCGCACAATATAGCGACTAATTATTTATTAATATACCCACACAATACGTGATGGTATCATCGTCAGTATTTATTGACTACGAAAATGAAATTGGAATAATGTATTTTTTACGGACATTGTTGCACGATGGGACATATAATGGATGTTCACACTTACTCAATTATTAGGCAATGTATTTAAAATAACCAAACAAAACTAAAACTATTATATACTTTATTTACTGGGAATCGAATAATCAAATAACTAGGGTCCGGATTTATATGCATAAAAAATCCTCAAAATATGCTTCTAAAAATATGCTATAAAATATGTATTTATTTTTAATTATGTACTTAAATATTCACTTAAAATGTTGTTTAAAATTATGTACAAGTATGTGAAATGTATTATAAATGTAAAAATTAGTATTACTTAATACAGTATTAAAAAAAGTATAAAAAAGCTTTTAAAACATTTTGTTGTCAAGTCGACACTTGAATTCTATATTATTTATCTATATATGTTGTATATGACTATAATATGAGATATGAGTATGTAATCTTATCTTTGGAAATAACGACCGGTTGAAATTTTATCGATATTATGTAGATGTGAACGTGAAAATACGACGAAAACGAATAAATGTGCTATTAATAACAATATGCACTATAAAACTACAAATATACATTGAATATGAATTTAATAGGTAAAAATGTTAAAATATGCTAAATATGCAAAATAAAATTAGTGTCATTTTAATAAAAAAGATCTAAATCGAGGACAATGCTCATCAGATTTCAAAAAGCTTATTCAAATACATATATGCATTTGCATATAAATCCGGTCCCTACAAATAACCATCCAAATCTGTTGATTAAATTCGGAGGAAATAAACATTATGTTTTAAAATGAATTGTCTAAATATAATAATTTGGAACAATTTTTTAATTTATATGTAATAATGTAGGTAAGCCTTCGAAAATGATTTATGCCCAAACTATATACGAGTATAATAGGAAACAAATTAATAATCTAAGACCAATAGATGGCTGAAAAATAGAAAAAAAATATTTTATAGGTGATATGATATTTGTCCCACCGTGTCGGATGAGAAATTTTATTGGTGGGATTGCGTATATCCCACCGTGCCGGAAAGAGTTAAGGGATTTTTTTAGTAAAGATCAAGTGACAAATTAATAGGTCATTTGGTTAGCTATGTATTAAATTAAAGTTTATAAATATATGCGTTTCTATATATTGTCGTATGAATCGTTTTACGCAGCGTCCAGACATAGTTAACATTTTTGGAAATATTATGTCAATAACAGATGTT